TTTCCCTACTGACAGGAGAAAATGTCCAAAGCCCCTTGAGGGAAGTAGGTGTCCAAATCCTTGCATACATACCTTCCAGGTGCCCAGGCCCAAGTTGGCCTTAGTACTGAGCTCCACAAAGGTGGCGGTGGTGAGTGCAAAATAGTCGTGAGTGAGCAGATTAGTTGTCTTCTGCCCCGCTTAATGGTGCTGACTCTGGCTGCAGAGGGAGGAGCTAGAGGCTGGGGGTGGGCAGACATTTCCAACCCTGGAAAGAACAGGAAAGTCCTTTCAGCCTTTTGTAATATTGATTCATGTGAATGAACTTCAAATATTGCAACCTTGTGTCCAGTTCTCCCTGATTCAAAATGCATGGATTATTTTATGAGAGTGACACTTAGAGATTTTATCCATTTTTATTTTCTTTTGCTAGTTTAATAAATGGAAAATAAAAAAGGTGCATGTATTTTAATTTGTTCCTATCTAATTGCTCAACAGTTGTAAATTTTTTCCCTCAGAACATGGAAATTACAGAAGTATAAGAATATGTTTATCTGTTAACCACCTGGACAGGATGCTAATACTCTGTATGTTTATTTAGTGATTCTTGTCACTTCCTTAAAGAAAAAAAGCTTTGTGATAACAAAATGATATATGCTCATTATAGTAGAAAATGTAGATTATAAGCAAGGAAATATTAATCATCTATATTCTCACCACTCATGATACCATTACAAGAGTGCTGTTTCTGTGCATATATATACAGGGAAAAGAGGAAGGGGCTGAGGAGAGGCTTGTGGGATGTGTGATCAGCTCGTGGACATTCTTCTGATAGGTTGGTGGTGAGGAAATCGGGAGTCAACATCATCACCCTTATTGGTTCCAACTGGTCTGGGGTCTCTGTGCTTGTGGGCGGCATACAGTTAACTTCTTATACTTGATGGGGGTTTCAATATCTGGAAAAGAGCTTGAAGGACATGGCTCAAAACATTATCTATAGCCCTTGCAGAGGAACTAAAGGTTCTTGACTTGGTTAAATGGTTAAACTATTATTATTTTTTCTTGCTTGACTATTTTCCTTTCTGCATTTTCTCATTTCTCTGATTAAATTTATTCTTTGCCTAAGTTCTTCTACTGACAAGGGACAGGCAGAGGACATGGGGGGAGGTCAGTTCCAAGAAGGCCCCATAGGGTCCTACTCAGTTACACATATAGTTTTAAACTTAGGACCACAAAATAAACTTTTCTATACATTCATAAATACTCTTCTTAAAATTGTTTTTACATCAACCATTTTTAGTTGTAAAAAATTCTGTTTTATGGTTATAATGTACTCAATCGAAATTCTCCCTATTCTTAGACATTTAGTTTATTTCTAGTTTGTTTCTATTATAAATAATATTTCAAGGAATAGCATTGTGAGTAAAGCATTGGACACATTTTGATTAATTTTAGGCTTGTTCTCCAGAAGCAGGATTATGTGGTCAAAGGAAATTTGTTTTAGTTTATCATGTGAAATATGGTTCAAAATTGAGAGGGTTTTTTTTTGTATTACCATTTATAGAATAACACACTCTACTGTTTGTGATGTTTCAGTAATTATTTACAACTTTCATTTTTTTAATATTATGTTCTTTGTAAAATATAAAAAGAAAAATCAGTGAAGAATGAAGAATAGATTAAGTAAGAAAATAAAACCCATCCATAGTCCCACATTTAGATGTGATTATTGTTAATATCTTCAGGCATCTGTGGATACCCTATTGGGACGTCCTAAAGCAGAGGAGAACTGTGCCTCGTTTCCTGGGGTGAGGCTGTGGGGAAGACACCAAGTCTAGGATGGACTCTCCTGGTTCCCAAAGCTGTTGGATCGCCACGACCGCAGGAGGTGTCCAGGTGAGTGGGCCTGAGGTAGTCTCAGGGTGTCCCATGAGGCCCAGCCCAGTGCTGGGAGAGCAGCCGGGTTATTGACGTCCACAGGCAAAGTTGGCTGAAAGGAAGTGTAACCGAGCAAGTGGGGCTGTTGCCCTGTGTAACAGCAAGACCAAAAGAGGCAAATGTCTTTTGCAGAAAGAGAAAGGCTTTATTGCAGGGCAGCCAAGTGAGGAGACAGGAGGCATAGCTCAGCTCTGTCTCCCCAGTGGGCTTTTGAGTCGGGTATTTATCGTGGAAGTAGGGAGCAAGACAGGGAGGGGGCTCGGAAACGATTGGTGGAAAGTAAGAGGAAGTTTCAGGAGTCCTCTGTGCAGGTGTGAATGTCCTTCTTGTCTCTTCATGAGTGGCATGTGCAATATCGGGAGAGTTCCATACGTTATGCTTGGTAGATTTTCGGCATATGATGTCCAAAGTTCGTGATCCATCATTCTAGTCCCTCAGTGTGCCTGTGTGATGCTCAGTGGAAGGGGCTCTTAGTGTTTCCATACCTGGTTTCCCTGGTACTCTGCAACACAAGCTTGGGGGTCTCTGTTAATTATTTTGTTTCTACCTTATAGGCCTTGAGTGTGTAAGTTACAGGGTAAGGTTTCTGAAGGAGCATGAGCCCCTGAACATCTCAAGGCTGAGACTGTGAAAGTTGTGACGTGTACAAGTTCATCCTGCACGTTATATTCAGGGGAGCTGGATGGAGGTTATAGAGTGGGCTGCATGGCTAGGGCTTGATGGGGATAAGGACATCTTGGATGACTGTACAAAGGGATGGATGATCACACCTAAACACCAGAGAGTTGAGTCACATCTCAGGGGAAGCCAGTGTATAGATGGTGATCCACACCATGTACCATTCCCACTCTGTGGGATTTTGCAAGTCTCCCCTAAACCCTGCTGATACCTACAGAGAAGGAATCCTAAATGTAGTAGATTTTAATCCTGAAATACAAGGAAATCAAAGTAAAGATTTTGACCTAAAGGAGAAAGCCAGTGTAAGCTGGAGGTGTAACACAGAAAATTTTTAGAAGTGGATATAATCAGCCAGAAGCAGTTGCTTGCAGCCCATTTTTTAGTTCATGCCATCAAAAATTAATTTCAAACTCATTTATAAAAAAAAAAGTAAGTTTTAGTTCCGTGATGAACCGAGGAATATCTGCTTTAGAATTTATCTCACAGGAAAAATCACCCAGGCACAAGTCTTACCTAGCTTAAAACAAACAAGCAAAAAAAAGCCTTCATTGTCAGGTGAGGAGAGAGGTGATTCTGATTATGGTTTGCTATTATTGTTATTACTGTTAACAGGCCTGTGCTACATAATATTACATGTATTTGCTCATTTGCTCATTTACTCTTCAAGTAGCCTCATGAGGTAGATACGTTTCTTATCCCCATTTCATAGATGAGGAACTGATACATCGAGATGTTAAGTAATTTGTTCAAGGTAAATGGTGGAGCTGGGATTTGAATACAGATTATTGGGCTCTAGAGCCATTTATTTGTTTGTTTATAGTTAGGCGCTGTGCTAAGTGCCATACACATTCTCCAATTCAATTGTCACCGTGCTATAAGGTAGATATGATTATTAATCCCATTTTATACCAAGGAGAAAACAGAATTAAAGAGGTACAAGGTCAACTGGAAAAGCCAAGATGCAAACGGGCCTTCAGAGTCCAGAGGCTCCACGACTAACTCTTGTGCTATTCTGCTACCCTCACACCCCAACCCCTGTATTCCACTTATTGCTACCCCTATAAACAAACACCAAAGGAGGAGAGAGACTGTAGCATCTGGTGGAGGATGGCACTGGGGATTCTTGGGGACACTAATAACTAGTGGAGGTGGCTGACATGCCCAGAAATGGTGCCAATGCGTGCAGGTTTTACACACTCATTGGACGGAGTGGTGGTTCCTGGCAGACAGCAGATGATGGTCAACAGGATGTGTCCACGAGCATGAGAAGGGTATTCTCTGCTGTATTAGTTATCTGCTGCTGCATGATAAATTATCCCCAACCCTAATGGTTTAAAGCAACAAACATCTATTTTCTCATAGTTTGTGCGGGTTGATGACTTACAATGATCCATGACCAGCAACCCAGACGTCCAAACTGATCAAGCACGTATTCAACTTTGTAATTAAGGAAAAATGAGTCATCGAGAGCATAAGAGAAAACATATTTGGGGAAAAGATTGCCAGAACAGGAGAAAGCTCTCAAGCTTCCTTTCTGCTTCCCAGAAAACCATGTTCTCATGAGAAGGGGTCCTCAGGCATGGGGGTCCCGATAGTGTAGGAGGAAACCAACTGTATTGGATTCCTGAGCTTTTGTCTTTGTTTCCATAAAAAATACACATTTCTAAATATCAGTTTATGTTTTCTCATTCATGTGTTTCTGGGGGGTCAGGTGCATGAACTAACCCCATGGAATATGAACATCATTGTTTCATACAAAGTCCTCTTTGTTGGATTTACATATTTATCCTGTTTTATTTCTATTGCTCATGCAGGACATCATGCTAACATATTTGGTCAATGCTTTCATAACGCTTATTGGTAAGAAGTGTGCCTGTGTTTGAAGCTTATATAAACAGTGTTGTGTTATGCACATTTAGTCCACATACTCCACATGGTGCTCCGCCCTGTGCATTCACCACGTTGTGCCTGAAAACTCCATCTTTATCCAGGTAAAGACACCCTTTCTTCTCAAGGAGGAAGACAGACCAAATGGTAGACGATCCCCCGAGAAAGTCTGTCAGGCGAGGGAGAAATCAGATAGAAGAGGAACCACCCTGGAGGAGGAGAGACGGAGAGGACGGATGCGGTCAGCGTGATGCCGAGAGCTTTTGTGCAATTTTCCCATTTAACATCCAAAGTAACTTTACTGAGTAGACATCATTATCAACCTCCTATGATAGAGGAGGGGGCTCAGAGAGGTTAGGTAAACTGTTCAGGTCAGTTTATCTGAGGGGACAGTTTGTCACCTTAAAAGTCACACAATTAATAAGTAAAAGATCTTTGCTATAGACCCAGATTAGGCTTTTTCTAGAGCCGTGTTTCTTGACCTTAGCTGTACAATAGCGTCACCTGGAAACTTCTAACTGCAGACGCCTGTGACCTCCCACCTACACGCGCCCACACTCACACAAGACATTCAGATTTAACTGGACTCATGTAGAGCCCAGACACTGCCTTTTTTTTTTTTTAGCCTTAAGTATTAATAGATTTTTGGTTGAAGTTTAACATACCCTTCAAGACGAGTGCTCAGGACCTGGGCACA